ACGGATATTCTACCCTCCCCATAAGGTGGTTTCCTTAAGGGTATCATGGAAAACACTAGAGGGAATGGCACAAGGGCCTCCCTTAAGTGGAGCCTCTTTGTAGACCGAAAATTTTGTGTCTAAGGTCGTAAAAGATCTTACCATGAGGCTTTGGTTTAAGGATTATACAAAAAAGTCATAAGTTTCATTCCAAAATCCTACCCCTAAGAGGATACCTCTTGAGACATATTTCTTTTTTGGAATTCCACCGACTCTAGGCAAAGTCATCACAAAAACTCATAGGAATAATGTATCCCCTTGGCCAATAGATGAACCTTCTTTCTAAGGTTTTAAAAATGTATTTTTTGGAAAAATTCCTCCACGGATATAATAACATAATAAATAAAATAATAGCAAATAAATAAATAAAATAATTTAAAAATACAAATATGGAAAGCAAAAATAACAAAAACCCTAACCAAAAACCTAAATTTAGAATGAAGATGCTTCTAAACCCTAGGGTTGAGTCCCCAATAGAGTCGCCAGCAGTAATAACTAACTGAAAATTATAGAGTCTCCACCATTAATTTTTATCCTAAGGAAGGGAATATAACGCATAATCATAATTTGGATCAGAGATTCTAAGTTGTTGACTCGCTTTAGACGAAGGGAAGGTGTTAGGCACCCCTCACCTACCTTGTTCACAAGGATACTATGGTTTAAGTTAAAGGTTTAGGAATATGGTTTTAGTTTTAATTAGGGGAACTCGCCACAGTTTTTAAGTCGTATGCCTACGTATCCTCTTATGAGGAATCAAAGTCCTAATTCGTAGTTCGTAGTTTTTGTTGGTGTTTTTTATAGGATTGCTTTCGAATTATCCTTGAACCTTGTCTAGGTTGTAAGTTGAGTGATCGTAGACACAATTCGCAGTTAATTTTGAAAGTATTTCTATTTAATTTTTTTTTTGAAAATGTCTTGGGTTATATTATGTTAGTAAAAAATGGTTTGATCGTTGGTTAGCTATTTTAAGGTGTGTATGGCAAGATAAAATCAATCGCTAAAAAAACCTAATCTCAAAGACAAAAATACATGCAATCAAAACACAATTCATACAAGAACCTCTAGGGTAACCTCGCTTGTTTCCTCGGAAAATAGTCATGTCCCTCGAATATGGGTGCTTTAGCAAAGACCCTCGATAAAATAGATATTAGTCCCTCGATGACCCTTCGATGTTGCCTTCGGTAAAACGATATTAAGTCCCTTACTAAAATTTCTAAAGCGTCTCATAAATTGCTTTCTATGACTATACGATTGATCCGCGCCTATCCCTTCACATCCAATGATGGGGCTTCTTAACAATCAATGGAAAGATAGCAACATCTAAAGGAGGAGGAAAAGAACAAAGACCTTTTGAGTAGGTAGGACGCTCGTAGTTGCTTGTTCACAATTAAAACCATCTTCACACTTGCACTTTCAAAATATCTTCAAACAAACATCTCTTTGAACTATTTTCAAAACTAAAACTTTGTATACATTCTTATAGAGACGAGAATCATTACAAAGTTTACCGAAACAAAGGCGTTTTCAAAATATTTTCAAACTTACACCAATCACAAATACGTTTCAAACAAAGCATTTCAAAGTGATCAAGCAACTAAGAGCCCGTAGATAACTACGGATGAAAAGGGTGCTAACACCTTCCCTTTTCATAACCTACACCCCCCCCCCCCCCGAACTCAAGAAAATATCTCAAAAGGTCTTACCTGTTCTTTTCACCCTTTCATTTATTGCATAAAAGAAAAGTCGGTGGTGACTCTTGCTATCTGCAACAATTGCGATAAAACGCAAAACACCCAAGTCAGTTCTCGCACCGTATTACACCTATGTGTCCTCTTATGAGGAATCAAAGTCCTAATTCTTAGTTCGTAGTGTTTGTTGGTGTTTTTTATAGGATTACATAGAATTGCTTTTGAATTATCCTTAAACCTTGTCTGGATTGTAAGTTGAGTGATCGTAGACGCAATTCGTAGTTCATTTTGAAAGTATTTATATTTTATCTTTTTTTGAAAATGTCTTGGGTTCTATTATGTTAGTAAAAAATGGTTTGATCATTGGTTAGCTATTTTAAGGTGGAGATATTAAGGCTGAGTGGTGTATTAGAAGAAAATCTGGATCCAAAGATATTTTGAGCTCAAATTGACTGAGGGGTGCGTTTTGCAACAGGGTAGTAAAACCTGGGAGTGTGAATAACCGGGCTCAAATCCAAATATTGAATTTGGTCCAAAGTGTAGAGGAGGGTGTCGTTGAACTGAGAAAGTAATCGTGGTGGGCGCAGATAGCATGGGCCCAAGTTCAGAAACTGAACTTGGCCCAAATAAATAGGGGGGAGGTGTAAGTTGGTGTTAGGTCAATCAAAAAATATGGTGGAAGTGTATCCACCAATCCTGTTATTTGTAATATGTTTAAATTAATTTAATTGTCATTTGATTATAGATATTAGTTAATGATTATTGTATTTTTGAATTTTTATTAGACTAAAATAATAAACTAAATTACTCTAAAGGTAATCTAATAAACTAAATTATTAAATAAATTAAACATTTAATTACAATTACACTTAATTAACTAAATTAACTTAAATAAAAGTTTAACAAAAAAGACAAGAATATATAGACCAAAAAAAATTTTAAAATAAATAAACCTAAACCTTATTTAATCTAAATCTAACTAGAAATAATAATGAAATAAATAAAAGTAAATAGTTACGAAAAAGTTGAAAGTATAAGTTACCGTATTTCCTCACGCTAAGAAATTAGGTCAAACTTAAACTATATTTCAACTTAACTATACCCAATAGAGATATGACACGTGACACCATATTTTTTAATTATAAATAAATAAATATTAGCAAAATGAATGAAGAGAGAATCGAATTTCTAGACTTTATTTTTCCTTCTTCTCTCTCGTGCTGTATCAAGTAATAACAACAATTCCACCATTTTTTCTTTCATTTAGAACCACAAAATTGAACCCACAATATAACAAACTTTAATTTCTTCAAAGTAAAGAAAATCAAACGTAAAACAAATCAATTATCCAAAAGAAGAAGAGAAAAATCGTAAAATAATTCGACGACATAAAATTGGCGGCGACAACTTCATTTACGGTGTTGGACTACGAACGACAGCAGTTGGATAAGTTGTTGTTGATATTGTTTGATAGTGTTGCTTTTGGATTTGTTTCTCAGAGTTTCTGATTAGAAACCCTGGAATAAACCAAAAGTAAGAAAAAAATTGAGATTGTGAAATTGTGGATTTCTGGATGAAAAATTATGTTGGACAATAGTCCTATTTATAGACTTAGAATTAGGTTAAAAAAACTTAGAAAGTAAGTTATCCAAAAACTAAAAGAAATCCAAAGTCTGATCTCTAAAAAAAGAAAGAAAATTAATAACAAAAAATAGAAAAAGAAAATGTTAAAAGTGCAACAGAAGAGATTTAAACAAACGATCTCATATTTGCAAACTTCATTCATTACCAACTGTGTTATGTTACTCATTTGAAAACTCAATTGAAAGTATATGAAAGTGAAAAAGTATTTGCTATTTAAAATACAAAAAATTTAAAATAAATTATTATATATTTTTAAATGAGCGAAATAAATTATTGTTAAAATGTTAGTAAAATTGAACAAATAATATTATAAAAATCAACGTTAAAAATATTTTTGACTGTAGAAATAAATAATTGACAAATTTAGAATATGATACACCTCAACGTTTTCGGAGAGAAAATAAACATGAAAGACCAAAAATATTTAAATAAAAAATAGAAAAACTGATATCATAAGTTGAGAAAAATATAGAGACCAAAATTATAATCAAACCTATTATTTATATATAAATTTCAAAGAAAATAAAACATTATATCCATTATCATATCAAATACTTTTACAACTACTGTCATATACGACATGATATACAACTTATGGAACATGCATAGGTCCCATTTTATCTCAATAAGTAACTTACAAATTTACTCATAAATGTACAAGTCATCTATATATGACATCTCTCCAACTTGGCAAACGTCCTCTACTGCCTAGTGGAAACTGCCCAGTCCATACCCAACTAATCACTCCAAATGGATACTTCAAGATAAATCAGAATTTGGACTCAAGCATATATTTATCTTCCCATTCAAAAATCACATAGTCCATATTAACAAGAGATGAATCACACTAATAACAAATTTTAGCTGGCAATATAACATTGGTATGTCCATTTTAGGATCCAAAACGGGTCGGTTCATGGGTATTGTCTATTTTATCTGCATTTTTTTTGTAATTTTTTACGGACACAAATATTAATAAATTTTTTTATAACTTTTAAAAGAAAAATATGTAATACCTACAAATACGTTCCATCTTAATTTTTTATGAGTCAGAGTCTAAACATGGAGGACATGCCGATCTTTACTATCACATAGATGAAGTAGAAATAATTGATAAAATACCAAAACCAAAAGTGAGTGGAAAGAAAATTAAGAGAAAAAAAAGATTAACATTAGGGACCATAGAACAAAAGTCACTAACTAGTTACCCACGTAAGACGCTGAAACAAAACACCACAACAAAAATGTCTCATTCAAATTATGTTCATATTTCCAATTTTTCCAATCCAAAATCTCATCCATCCACCCACAACCATATGGGCCACCACTAGAAATCCATATGATTAGAAACTCAACCAATGAGGATCAAGAGATTAGGATCAACTTTACATTTTCAACCAATTAAAATTCAGATAAGATAAATTCAATTACCTTATGACCCCACTAATCCTTGCATCTATCAAAAAGTTCAAATCCAAACTATCTCTCACTTTTTCTTTTTAAATACTCACTGCAAAAGCGCTTCTTGTGGGTCACTACCGTTTTTCTCTTCACTTTTTTTAAGAGTTTTTTTTTTTTTTTTTCAGTTTTTTTTTCATTTTTCAGCTTTGTAAATTATTATTATTGTAAATGACTTGTTCTAGTGAAAACGTAGCTAAAGCGGTTGGAGGCAAAACCGCTAGAGCTTGTGACAGTTGCATAACAAAGAGAGCACGTTGGTACTGTGCTGCAGATGATGCTTTTCTCTGTCAAGGTTGTGACTCTTCGGTTCATTCTGCTAATTCGTTGGCTAGAAGACATGAAAGAGTTAGATTGAAAACGGCTTCCTATAAATCTGCCAGCGATAAGAATGGATCCATTAATTCCGGTCCGTTTTCTGGCTTTACCAAGAAAGCTAGAACACCGAGACAAGGGAAACAGAAGAGTAATGGTAATGTTAATGCTAATGATAATGTTAATGTTAATAACCTGTTTCATCTTGTGCCAGAATTGGGATTTGATGAAGTTCATTCGGGTTCGAATGAAGAGAACGAGGAGCAGTTGCTTTATAGGGTACCGATTTTCGATCCTTTTGTTGCTGAATTATGTACTAGTTCTCGTTCAATTGGTACAACTGAAGGAGAACTAGGAGGTGTAACGGGTGTTTCTGCTTTCGCTTCTGATAGGAGCGAAAGCAGAGCTCAATTGGGTGGTGATAGTAATTATGAGATGGGGCTGCTTCCATCTGATATTGAATTAGCTGAATTTGCAGCTGATGTTGAGAGTTTATTGGGCAGGGGATTAGAAAACGAGTGTATGGGGATTGAAGAGCTCGGATTGGTTGATGCAAAAAATGAGGATGAGGAATGGGAGTGTAGTGGGAAAGTGAAGGAAGAAGGTGAAGAGGTTCATGAAGTTGTTGAGGGAGATAATAATATAATGGATATGGGAAAAGAAGGTTCGTTTGAGATGAATTTTGATTATGAAACATGTGAAGAGGTGAAGGAGAAGGTTGGTTTGGATATAGAACAAAATGAAAATAGTAATGAAGGGAAAAGGAAAATATCTTTGCAGTTAGATTATGATGCAGTAATCATTGCATGGGATGGACAAAAATGTCCATGGACTAATGGTGATAAGCCTAATTTGGATGTTGATGAGACCTGGACTGATTGGATGGTAAAATTTCTATTCTAATTTTCTTCGTGACTTATTTACTTTTAGATTTTCGATTTGGATACTCTCCTCTTGAAAATTAATATATTAATATAGAAGGTTATGTCGATGATTTTATTATATTGAGATTATCCATATAACATTTTTATATTGAAATCAAACACATGTGAAAATATAAATGATTAAAAAGCTTAATCGTGATGTATTTGATTATTTATTTTTAGGGAATTTGTGGCGCGGAGGTTCAATATCCTTATGGTGAATTCGGCGGATATGGTTGTAATCCACTAATGATGGATAGAGGTAGAGAGGCTAGGGTTTCAAGATATAGAGAAAAGAGGAGAACAAGGTTGTTTTCGAAGAAAATAAGGTACGAGGTTAGGAAATTGAATGCTGAGAAGAGACCAAGAATGAAAGGGAGGTTTGTGAAGAGGACCTCGTTTGCAGTTCCAACATTTCCTTTGCTAAAATAAATAAGAGCTATAGCATTTGTTGCTTTGCTCAAGTCTAATCTTTTTGTTAGTATTTGCTAAAAGTAATAATTTGCTTTTGTATGAGTTTTTATTTTGTTTTGCTTTAGTCTTCTACTTCTTTGTATATATAGACAATTTTGTTTAGTTCATGAAATGGTTTAACATATATAGATGATAAATAAATGCTAGATCCATATATAGACATTTCTATAATTATATCAACAATTTTATCACTTTTAATATAAAAAATATTTAAATGATAAAACATGAGAAGAAAACACTTTTAAAATCTTTAATTAAAAGACACTTAAGTAAAAGAGGAGCGGCTAAGAAATCCGAACAAGTACAAATGATGACACATTCACAAAGTTTACAACTCAAAGAGGACTAAGGTATAACAAAAAAGTATTTTAGACGTTTTTATTTGCCATATATATAAATGATATAAATGATGTGTGCTTTTTGCAAGTATACAAAATGCGTCAGAGTAATATAAAAGACTGTCGATTCCACATTAAGCTCGTTATCCTTACATGCTCATAGTAGAGTGATCGGTTAGTGACTCTGATCTAAAGCATGTGATTCTGGTACATAAGTTGGTGTAACCCTTTTCTTCGACCCTTTACATCACTGCTTCACCTTTTCTGATTACCAATTAGTGCCCACTATAGAGGAGTTTTCTCAGTTATTGGAGGTGCACATTCTTGATCATTTACCCTTCAATGGTATGGAAAAAGACCCAAAACTGGAAGAGATTGCTCATGCTCTGTCTTTACAACGGTCTGATGTAGTGGCAAATTGAGAAACTAGAAGAGGCGTCAAAGGGTTCCTAGCTAAATTTCTATTTGAGAAGGCTCGTCATTTTTGGGATACCCTGGATTTACAAGCTTTTGAAGAAGTGTTGGCCCTTCTCATCTATGGGATTGTACTATTCCCTAATCCGGACCAACTCATAGATGTGAATGCGGTCAAGGTTTTTCTGTCTCATAATCTGGTGCCCACTTTACTTGGAGACATCTTACACTTTCTGCATACCCGTACTGTAAAGAGAAGAGGGACCCTGTTGTGTTGCACTCCTCTGTTAGCTAGGTGGTTTATTTTGCACCTATCTCGATCTGTGTTAAATAATGAGCAAGGCTTGAGATGGTCTAATAGGTTGATGTCCCTCACACATTCCAGCATTCATTGTTGTCCTCGATCCTTGGAGAATGTTACCATCATTGACCGTTGTGGTAAATTCCCTAATGTCCCTTTCCTAGGCATTAGGGGAGGAATCATTTATGATCCTTGTTTGGCGTTGCGACAGTTTCACTACGCTAGGAGGAATGGTCCTCATGATACACTTGTCCAAGGAATCATATTCTACTATGAGAGTGATGTTCAGGGCTATCGCCAGAGGTTTATAAGAGCTTGGGGCATGGTGAACAAAGTTGATAGAAAAACACTGGGGCATAAAAACTCCATCCCTTTGGAGTCTTATCTTAAGTGGGTACGATCCCATGCTCAAAGTCTCAGGATGCGTTATGAGGCCACTCTACCCATCATCATGGAGCCCGTTATTGAGGGAGACACTCCTTACATTGTTCTTCATCCTGACATGCCAACTAATTTCGAGGAGTTACAAAAATCTTAGATTCAACTCAAAGAGGAACGGGATACCTTTGAAACCCAATTCTTCTCCAGTGAGAAGAAGGTTTTAGAGCTCACCAGGCTACTTCACAAAGAAAGGAGTATAAATTCCTACATCGCACCAAAGAGGATGCGCTTATGGAAAGCTTGAGCCCTTTTTGCTTTGAGAGTTCATTTTTGCTTTGTTACTTCCTTTGTAAGCCCAAGATGCATCATTGTAACAACTTAAACTTCTTAATGCAATTAACGTTTGTTTTATTTTTGGCTAAGCAAGTTTAAGTCTTAGAAATCCTTGAAAACATTGCATACATATATCATACATATCATTGCATAAACAGGTTTCAGGACATGTTTCTTATCTTCTTCGCAGTTTATTTCAGCAATGGCTCTTGAACAAACAGTCAAGGAACTTCAGGCACAAAATGCCCAATTCCAAGAAATGTTCCTGAACCTGTCTAAGGGACAAGAAGATTTGAAAGCTCTGATTCTCAAGGAAAAGAAGAAGAAAAAAAGGCCAGTGGGTGTTCTGAATTTGGGAAGAAGGTTTAAAGGACCAGTGAAGCCAGTTTCAAAACTCGCAACTCTGTCAAGAGATAGAGACAATCAGAAAGGAGAGCCAAGATAAGGAGACCACGGTACAAGGGAGTCTGAATAAGATGAACCTGACTATTCTGAGGAGCAATATCCTCTTGCTGATGATAAATACAAACAACTGGAGGATCGGCTCAATGCCATGGAGATCCAAAGGGTACTCGGGTTGGATTTTGAGGAGCTAGGTCTGGTCTCAGGGGTGGTCATCCCTCAGAAGCTCAAAGTTACTACATTTGCTAAGTACGACGGTGTCTCATTCCCTAAACTGCATTTAAGGTCGTATGTCAGGAAAATTCAACCCCACACTACTGATAGGGATTTATGGGTACACTTCTTCCAGGAAAGTTTGGTAGGGAATCAGCTGGAATGGTTCTATCAACTAGAAAGAACCAATGTGCGTAATTGGGAAGATCTGGCTGATGCTTTCTAAAAGCGGTACCAATATAATGCTGACCTCGCCCCGACTCGTACACAGTTGAAAAGCATGTCTATGGTTTCCGGAGAGGGTTTTAAGGACCATGCCCAAAAATGGAGAGATCTTGCGGGGAGAGTTCAGCCTCCGTTTTCTGATAGGGAGTTGGTGGACATGTTCTTGGGCATATTATCTGGGCCATTCTTTAACCACCTGATTGGAAGTTCTTCTACTGGGTTTACAGAATTGATCTTGACGGGTGAACGAGTAGAGGCTGGCATTAAAAGTGGTAAGATACAAAGGGATGCATCCTCCAGCGCTGTAAAGAAACCATTCACATGGAAGAAGAAGGTCAATTCTGCTTATGGCCAAAGAAATCTTAACAAAACTGAGTGTCGTCTGACGGTATGGGTGTTATAATTTCCAATTTTGCATCAATCCGGCAACAGAATAATCAGTCTAGAACAGATAAGCCAAGGAGACAGTTTACCCGAATCAACATGACCCTATCTCAGGTTTTACCACACCTGCTGAAATCCAATTTGGTTACCCTAAAAGAGGCTCCCAAGAATCCCAACACTACATCTCCTCACTACAATACAAATGCTCGGTGTGCTTATCACTCTGAAAGTCCAGGCCATAATACAAACGATTGTTGGGCTTTGAAGAATAAAGTGCAGGATTTGATTGAAGCAAAGGAGATTGAATTTGATGCTCCTGAGACTCCTAATTTTATTACTGTCCCTATGCCCAAGCACGGCCGTGGTGTCAATGTTATTGATGATGACATGTTTGTTGCTTCTGTGGATGAACTAGCTACTCCGCTCCTGACTATTAAGAAGAATCTCTTGCAGGCCAGTTTATTTCCAGGTTGTGGCAAAGGTTGCCACTTATGTTTGTCCTTACCTAATGGTTGCCATTTGTTGAAGGAAGGTGTTCAGTGCCTGATGGATGATAAAGAAATCATGTTTGAGAAGACTCCAGTTATAAGTACTCCGTATGAATATGTTTCTATCATTACCATTTCCGCCAATCCTCCCAAGGTCTCCTCCAAAAGACCTGTCAGGATTACATTTGTTCCAAAAGTTGCTCCATTGATAATTACTTTCCCTGGATCTATACCATATTCCTCGAATAAAGTTGTTCCTTGGAATTATGGGGTTGATGTCTATTACCATGGCATCAATCAAGATTCGCTGATTGTTAAAGACGAAGATACCGAAGACTCTGATCCTGACATTAGTAATATCACTGGGACCGGTAAGATAACTAGAAGTGGAAGAGTTTTCTCTCCCGAGATCTCTCCTCCTAAAACTATTGTTACTCTTGTGATCATCCCTGCTGCTACTCCTGTCAGTATTCATATGACTACTCCTGCTATTAGTCCCACTATTATCCTTGGTACCGAGTCGGCTGAGACTCGGGGAAAAGAGGTATTGGTTGAGCCTGTCCGGACAAAGGCACATCCAAAAGCCATTCCCGAGGCTTCTAAGAAGGAAAAAGAAGAAATCTTAAAAATAATCAAGAAGAGTGACTACAACATAGTTAAACAACTCGGGCAGACCCCTTCCAAGATCTCAATGTTGGCCCTACTATTATGCTCTAAAGCCTATTCCAAGGCTTTAGTGAAATTCCTCAAGACTGCTCATGTGCCACAAGAACCTCCGCTAACCAATTTGAAGACTTTGTGGTCAGTTTGACTACTGACAATGGGCTAGGTTTCTCTGATGTTGGTCTGACTCCCAGAGGAAGGAAACATAATGATGCCCTGCGCGTCTCTATCAAGTGCAGAGGCACTACTTTGGCCCATGTTTTAGTTGATACAAGTTCGTCACTAAATGTTCTTCCCAAGAAGGCCCTTGACAGGTTAGATTGCGAAGGATTGACTCTGAAGCCTAGCAACATTGTGGTGAGAGCCTTCGAAGGTTCTAAAAGAATGGTGCATAGGGAGGTGGACATCCCTATCAAAGTGGGTACCCAGACTTTTAATTCCACTTTCTATATGATGGACATCCGCCCAGCTTACTCCTGTTTATTGGGTCGACCCTGGATCCATGGGGATGACGCTGTAACTTCCACCCTACATCAGATGCTGAAATACCCAGTCAACGGGAAGATTATCACAGTTCATGGGGAGGAGGAGTACATGGTGAGCCACCTGAACTCTTTCAGGTACGTTAAAATAGACGGCGAGTTCATTGAGACCCCCTGTCAGAACTTTGAGGAAGTTCCACAGACCATTGCTGCAACCAAAACCTCTGCCAGTGTTCCAAAGACTACTAGGCCTTCGCTGAAGATGGCTTCTCCAAAAGATGCCAAGGCAATTGTTGAAGAAGGTGGGTGTACAATTTGGGGCCAACTTTTGGAT